CGGTCTCGTAAGTACCCCGGCCCTAAGCCATGGAGCGCTTTAAAGGTGGTCACCAACACCTTGAAGCGCACCCGGAAGACCACCGGGAGCCAGTGCAGCTCGCGCAGGAGAGGTGTCACATGGGAGCGCCTCGTCACCCCCATAATCCCCCGCGCGGCTGCGTTCTGGACCAGCTGGAGCCTCCGGGTGCACCCCAGGGGGAGCCCCATGTAGAGAGCGTTGCAGTAGTCCAGGCGGGAAGTGACTAATGCCTGAGTGACTGTGCGTAGAGAGTCCCGATCTAGAAAGGAAAGAAAGAAAGTTTGAAAAAAAACAAAAAAAACTTTTATTAAAAAAAAGAGAACATAATTGTTATTGACAAATTTGCCATTAGTCAATTACAGAAAGTGGCTTTACTTCCATCCCACAACAATATCTGTAACACCATCAAACATCAATATCTGCTTCTCCCACGTTCTTAGTAAGGACTCAATAGTAGACAAAAATGCTAAAGTCAGTCTGAACATTTAGCTGACTGTGCGATGATCAATCATCATCATAATTATCATCATCATCACCATCACCATCATAAACGGCATTGGTCGCATTCGTAGATGATCTCTGGAGGGCTCGGGACAGGGGTTGCTCCTCTGTTCTGGTCCTGTTAGATCTCTCAGCGGCTTTTGATACCATCGACCATGGTATCATGCTGCGCCGGTTGGAAGAGTTGGGGATGGGGGGAACTGTGTTATTTATTTATTTATTTATTAAATTTATATCCCGCCCTTCTCCCCGAAGGGACTCAGGGCGGTGAACAGCCGAGAATTAAAATAACATGCAATATAAAAGTTAAAATAATTAAAAATAAATTAAATTAAACGGCCGCCCCAATTTAAAACCCCTAGCAATACAATTAAAAACCCCTAAAATCTATTCAGGCCAGGCCGGCTTGCTGAAATAAAAACGTCTTCAGGGCCTTACAGAAAGTGCGGAGATCCAGAATCAGCCATATTCCGGGAGGTAGCTCGTTCCAGAGGGCGGGTGCTCCCACAGAGAAGGCCCTCCCCCTGGGGGCCGCCGGCCGACATTGCTTGACCGACGGCACCCTGAGGAGGCCCTCTCTGTGAGAGCGTATTGGCCGGTGGGAGGTTATCGGTAGCAGCAGGCGATCTCGTAAATACCCTGGCCCTAAGCCATGGAGCGCTTTAAAGGTGAGAACCAACACCTTGAAGCGCACCCGGAAGACCACCGGGAGCCAGTGCAGCTCGCGCAGGAGAGGTGTTACATGGGAGCGCCATGTCGCTCCCGTGATCACCCGCGTGGCCGCATTCTGGACCAGTTGGAGCCTCCGGGTGCTCCTCAAGGGGAGCCCCATGTAGAGAGTGTTAGCGTAGTCCAGGCAAGAAGTGACGAGAGCATGAGTGACTGTGCATAAGGAATCCCGACTCAGAAAGGGGCGCAACTGGCGTATCAGGTGAACCTGATAAAAAGCCCCCCTGGCTGTCATATGCTCTTCTAAAGACAGCTGTGTGTCCAGGAGGACGCCCAAGTTGCGAGCCCCCTCTGTGGGGGTCAATGACTCATCCCCAATAGCCAGCGATGGCGCCAGCTGGCTATATTGGGATGCCGGCATCCACAGCCACTCGGTCTTGGAAGGGTTGAGTCGAAGCCTGTTACTCCCCATCCAGACCCGCACGGCTTCCAGACACTGGAACATCACTTCAAGGGCATCATTGGGGTGGTTTGGGGTGGAGATGTACAGCTGAGTGTCATCAGCATACAGATGGCATCGCACCCCAAATCCACGAATGACCTCACCCAGAGGCTTCACATAAATGTTGAACAGGAGTGGCGAGAGGACCGACCCTTGTGGCACCCCACAAACAAGGCGCCTCGAGGTCGACCTCTGCCCCCCTGTCAACACAGACTGCGACCGGTCGGAGAGATAGGAGGAGAACCACCGCAACACAGTGCCTCCCATCCCCAATCCCTCCAGCCGGTGCAGCATGATTCCATGGTTGATGGTATCAAAAGCCGCTGAGAGATCTAATAGGACCAGAACAGAGGAGCAACCTCTGTCCCGAGCCCTCCAGAGATCATCAACCAACACGACCAATGCCGTTTCTGTGCTGTACCCAGGCCTGAAGCCGGACTGGCACGGGTCTAGATAGACGGTTTCATCCAGGTACTGCGGGAGCTGTTGCACAACCACACTCTCAACAACCTTCGCAATAAAGCGAAGGTTGGAGACAGGATGGTAGTTAGCCATAACAGCCGGATCCAGAGAAGGCTTCTTAAGGAGGGGCCTCACCACCGCCTCTTTCAAAGCAGGTGGCAGGAAACCCTCCCCCAAAGAAGCATTTATAATCCTCTGGAGTCAGCCTCGCGTAACCTCCCGGGTAGCCAGTACCAGCCAGGAGGGACACGGGTCCAGTAAACATGTGGTTGCGTTTAACCTCCCCAGAATCCTGTCCATGTCCTCAGGAGTTACAGGATCGAACTCGTCCCAAATAACATTCTCAAGACCCGCCTCAGCCACCCCGCCGGAATCTACCCAGTCAGAGTCCAGGCCTTCCCGAATCTGAGTGATTTTATCGTGCAGATACTGTGCAAAATCCTCAGCCTGCCCTTGCAAGGCTGAGGTTATGGTGGTTCTCCTCCTTTCTCTCAGATTGGTCGCAGTTTGTGTTGACAGGGGGGCAGAGGTCGACCTCGAGACGCCTCATATGTGGGGTGCCTCAGGGGTTGGCCCTCTTGTCCCTTTTGTTCAACGTCTATGTGAAGCCGCTGGGTGAGATCATCCATGGCCTCGGGGTGAAGTACCACCAGTACGCTGATGACACCCAGCTGTATATCTCCACCCCGGGCCACCCCAATGATGCCCTTGAAGTGATGTCCCAGTGCCTGGAGGCCGTGCGGATCTGGATGGGGAGGAACAGGCTCAGGCTCAACCCATCCAAGACTGAGTGGCTGTGGTTTCCGGCATCCCGATATAGTCAGTTGACACCATCACTGACTATTGGGGGCGAGTCTTTGGCCCCCACGGAGAGGCTCGCAATTTGGGCTTCCTCCTGGTTACGCAGCTGTCCTTGGAGGAACATCTGACGGCTGTAGCCAGGGGGACTTTTTATCAGGTTTGCCTGATCCACCAGTTGCGGCCCTTCCTAGATCGGGATTCCTTGTGCACAGTCACTCATGCCCTCGTCACCTCTCGCCTGGACTACGGCAATGCTCTCTACATGGGGCTCCCCTTGAAGAGCACCCGGAGGCTCCAACTGGTCCAGAATGCGGCCGCGTGGGTAGTTATGGGAGCTGCATGGCACTCCCACATAACACCTCTCCTGCATGAGCTGCACTGGCTCCCAGTGGTCTTCCGGGTGCGCTTCAAGGTGTTGGTTATCACCTTTAAAGTGCTCCATGGCATAGGACCTGGATATCTTCGAGACCGCCTGCTGCTACCAATGGCCTCCCACCGACCTGTGCGCTCCCACAGAGAGGGCCTCTTCAGGGTGCCATCGGCCAAGCAATGTAGACTGGTGGCCCCCAGGGGGAGGGCCTTTTCTGTTGGGGCACCTGCCCTCTGGAATCAGCTGCCCCCAGAGATACGAAGAATCCAAGACCTCGGTGCCTTCCGCCGTGCCCTGAAGACTTTTCTTTTTCAGCAAGCCAGGCTGGCTTAACACATTTTAAAATGTTTTTAATAGGTTTGTTATTGTTTTTTAATTATGGGGCCAAACACATATATATCTTTTTAACTGTATTTTAATGTTTGTATTTATGTTTTTACTTTGGCTGTGCACCGCCCTGAGTCCTCCGGGAGAAGGGCGGTATATAAATCTGATAATAAATAAATAAAATAAATAAAATAATATTTCTCATCTTCTCTACTATACCCTCTTATTGGTATCATTATTATTATTATTTATTACTCTGTGGGTTTGTATGTATACTTAGAGCTTCTGGAGACAAATTTCATGTGTGTCTAATAACATTTGACCAAATAAAGCTACTCTACTCTACTCTACTCTACTCTACTCTACTCTACTCTACTCTTACTCTACTTACTCTACTCTACTCTACTCTACTCTACTCTACTCTACTCTACTCTATTCAAAAAACATTTCATTTTAATATCTTAATTCTATGCACAAGAAGTCAATCAGGTCTGTTGTGTTTGCATTAAATGTGGAGTACAATAAGAACTGACCAACTTGCTAGGATATGTAGTGCAATTTGTTTTTATGTAAGTGCTCTCATCCCGTAAATTTTTGCCCAAACTGATTACATTTGTTTGTGTATGACAACTGTTCTCAATATTTTCTTCACCCATGGACCCTGTTTAAATACCTTTTGTGGCCATGGACCATGGCCACAGACCACCAAGACTTAAATCATAAGAATTCTTCAAGACTTCACAAACTCTCTGTGATGACATCGAGGCCCCACAGGGATCTGTGCACGAAAAGTTGAGAACAAGTCTTAGAATGTTCAAAAATACTATATAACAACAAAGTTTGTATTTTGATCTCTGAACTTAAAATAAAATATCAATTCATCCTATTTAATTTCTTCCATAGTATATTTCTCATGGGAGAGAGTAATAGTAACTTATTTTTATAGGCATATCTGACTGGATATATTTTCTATACTTTGCTTTTCCCCAATGAAAGTTAAAGACATGACTGCTGTTAAATATTCCACCACTATTAAGGCAAAAATGATGCCTGAATGTATATATATCCATTCTCCATAAACTGTAACATGTACACTTTTAAAATTTAAGTTTATAGTTTTATTTGAATTTCTTAAATGATTATTTTGGTCGAATTGTGTCTTTATTGGGTATAATTTTAATTATCATAAATTATTTTATTCATTAGGTTTTTATATTTTTGAAATATATAACTATCTGTTATGATTGGTTATCTCTATTTTTTTAGTTGGTATATTTTATGGAAAAGAATATTAATAATAAAAATAGAAATAATAATATTAATATCAAAATATATTTATGATTTCAGGCAACATTACAAGATCTGGAACAAAGGCGCCCACAGCTTGAAGAATTAATAACAGCAGCCCAGAATCTGAAAAATAAAACTAGCAATCAAGAGGTTCGAACAATCATCACTGATCAAAGTAATGCATTTTTTGTATTTAATATTTTAAAAGTATAAAAAATCCTGATTTGTATGTAAACATGAAGTAAATGTTTTACAGTTTATGTTTTAACCACTCTCCTGCCTTCCATTTAAAAAAAACGTCTTATAGAAATTGGAAGATATTCAAAAAGCATTGAAATGTGCATCTTCAGAGGAATGGTGATATTTTTAGATTATATTGGTGATATTGTTGTTGAAGTTGTGAAAATTACAGATAGGTTGCTCCCCTGATGGTCTGTTGATCTGTGGCAATGTTCTTCATACTGCAAATGTTTCCTGAAAGTACCCTGCTTGCCCAAAACCTTTGGGACTAAAATTGGTTTAAAATATGTGTATCTGCTGATAGCGCAGCAGACTAAAGCACTGTTATTAACATCAGCTGCCTGCAATTACTGCAAGTTCAAATCTCACCAGGCTCAAGGTTGACTCAGCCTTCCATTCTTTCTAAGGTAGGTAAAATGAGGACCCAGATTGTGGGGGCAATAAGATGACTTTGTATAAAAATATACAAAAATATGAAGGCTATTGCTTAATGCATTGTAAGCCTCCCTGAGTCTCCGGAGAAGGGCGGCATATAAATCATATTTTAAAAAAAATGCTTAAAAAAACCTTTTGTACAATTTTTGGTGCTATGGTACCCAAGATGCTGCATAAACAAGAGCATTCTTTATATGGGGACTGTGAAAACCAATTTTAATTTTACATTAAGTTATATTGTCCCTCAAGTTAAATGCGTATGCCCAAGATGGCGGCGCCCGCTGGGACCGCGATTTGAGGATGGGGCGCCGACCTACCTTTTGGGTCCTTTGGGGTCGTTTGGAGGAGCTATGACCCCCAGGACTGGCCGGGGGAGCTCTCTGCCAGCACGGAGAGGGTTTTTTCTCCTCCGTGGCTGAGCAGAGCAGAGAGGACGGCGCGATGTCGGGAGCCGATGCCGGGCCGATCAGCTGGGCGTCGGCGGCGTTTTCCGAGGCCGGAGGCCGTCCAGGCGCCGGGGCGCCGCTGCGCAGTGGGTTTTTAAGCCCGGGGGGGGTTGCCCGAAGAGTTACAAGACGTGCCGGGCCCCCCCGAAGATCTCTGGGACGCCGCCAGACTTTTTAGTCTGGCGACGATGATGCAGCGGCGATGGCGATGGCGGTGGAGGCAGCCGGCGGTCGGAGGGCGTTTGCGACACCCCCCCCCCTTGGAGCTGGAGTCGGAGTTTAGGAGTTGGGGGGGCAACGAACCAACGAGAATTAAATAAGACCGGGAGACCTGCAACCATGGCTGGGGCGAAAAGGACCTGGTCTGACTTTTTTTCCCCAGGCCTTAGGCGGCCTCAAACTGTGGTTGTGCGGGGGGTTGGGGACTTGAAACAACTGCCCCACTTCCGCCTCATTTGTTTCTCCCCAGCGCTCCCTTTTAAGACCGGGCCCACTGGGACCAACTTTAGCCTGTGGGACTCACTTCCGCTATGTTCTCACTACCAGCTGAACCCCCTGACTGTGGAGAGGGTTATGGAAAATTGGAGGTCGGTTCATAGCTGCATCCCTTCGGCTAAGGGGGCTGGGCACCAGCTGGCCACCGTGAGAGGGTGGCCTGGTGTTGGGGCCTCCTGAGGGCTGAATCGGGATGTATTCACACATAAGCACTTTACCAGCGGTGGGGACCCGACCATCGGACCAACTGCCGTGAGAGGGCGGTTTTTTGGACCTGATCCCTGGACACTGGATGTACTGACTCTATTGCTGCCACTTCACCACAAATGGGGGCGGACCAGCTGACCTAATCACCGTGAGAGGGTGGTTGGATCGATTCTCCCCCTTGGATTGTGGTCGTGGTGGATTGTGACTGTGTCCTCTGTTGTGAGGGGACAGTGGACTTGGTCCTGTGAATTATGTGTGAGATTCCCCACTTCCCTACCTTCTTCCCTGTCCTTTTAGGACCCTTAGGATATGGTCATGGCGAGCCACTATGACCAAATTGTACTCAGCAGCGGAGCTTCTTGGTCTGCGAGACTCCCCCCTCTCGCAGGCTTGGCCCTCCACTCTATCGAGGGCCTACCTCGATGACGGGCTTTGGAACCCCGAGAGGTGGCATGTCGCAAAGAGGGGGTTGCGGGGTTTTTTAAAATTGTCTATGTCTAACCTTTTAAGGGGTTTGGGGAGGGGGGAGGGGGGTGGTATTGGAATTAGGGGTGTGGGTTTGGGGGATAACCCACCAAGGGGAGGGTCGGGCCCGGCCACGACGCGCGGCGGGGCGGGTGGGGGACCCGGGGGCAATGGAGGGGGTCGAGCTTGTTCGGACTGTGTTTTTACCATCAGTACTGTGAGTGGGAGGGGTAGATATGGCGGGAGCAGGGGGCCATATCATGTTAAGGGAGCACGCACCCGCTGTCTCCAAGCGGTAGGGTGCTCCGGCCCCCAAGGCTCTACCCGTTTGCCAGGTTGCACAGATCCTCACGGCCCGGGCCTTCGTCTGATGTTGTGCAACGCCAGGTCCGTAGTAAATAAAGCCCCCCTCATCTGTGATCTTGTTCAGGAGGGGGGAGCGGACCTGGCGGGTATTACGGAGACCTGGTTGGGCCCGGAGGGAGGGGTCCCTCTGGTAGAAATGTGCCCACCAGGCTTCCGTGCATTCCATCAGCCGAGGTCACAAGGGAGGGGCGGGGGAGTAGCGGTTATTATTAGAGAAGGCCTTAGGCCCAGGGAGACCACTGTACCTCAGACAGCTGGTTGTGAGTCCCTCCTTGTGAAATGGGGCCATGGGGTTCAGATGGGTTTGCTGATCACGTACCTGGCTCCCTGCCGCGTGGCAGCAACCCTGCCTGAGCTACTCAACGTTATTGCTGCGGTGGCGGTTGATACCCCCAGACTTATGGTCATGGGGGATTTCAACCTGCCGTCCGTGGGTGAGACGTCTGAGGTGGCTCGGGAGTTCATGGCTTCCATGACGGCCATGGATCTGACCCAACTAATTCATGGCCCTACGCACACTGGGGGAAACACACTGGACTTGCTTTTTGTCTCTGGACAGTGGTTGAGTGATCTTGAGATAGGGGATGCAGTCATCGAGCCCTTGTCATGGTCGGATCACTCTCTCCTTCGCCTTGACCTTCGTACCGCGACACCCCGCTGCAGGGAGGCGGAACCGATAAGATGGTACCGCCCCAGGCGCCTGATGGAACCCGATAGGTTCCAGACGGAGCTTGGGCCAATTCCTGAGGTTCTGGCTCACGCCTCGACTGGAGACCTAGTGGCCGCCTGGGATAGGGCAGCCGCTGGGGCCCTGGATCGAGTCGTGCCTTTGCGGCCTCTGACCCGGCGCGGATCTCGCCTGGCTCCTTGGTTTACCGAGGAGCTGAGGGAGATGAAGCGCTGGAAAAGACGCCTAGAGAGTAGTTGGAGAGCTAGTCTTTCTGAATCCGACCGGACACTGGTTAGATCCCATATTAGGACTTACCTAGTGGCGATAAAAGCAGCAAAATGTATGCATTTTGCTGCTCTTATTGCGTCATCAGATAATCGCCCGGCCGCCCTGTTTAGGGTGACCCGCTCCCTGCTCCACCAGGAAGCGTGGGAGGACCCCTTGGAGGGAAGAGCCGAGGACTTTGTTCAGTATCTGTATGACAAAATCACTCAGATTCGGGAAGGTCTGGACTCCGACTGGGTAGATCCAGCGAGAGTGACGGAGGCAGGTCTTGAGACTGTTATCTGGGATGAGTTTGATCCTGTGACCCCAGATGACGTGGACAGGATTCTGGGTAGATTGAACGCGACCACATGTTTGTTGGACCCGTGTCCCTCCTGGTTAGTGCTGGCTTCCCGGGAGGTGACGCGAGGCTGGCTCCAGGGGATTATAAATGCTTCATTGGGTGAGGGTGTCTTCCCCGCCGCCCTTAAGGAGGCGGTGGTGAGGCCCCTCCTCAAGAAGCCTTCCCTGGACCCAGCAATATTGGCTAATTATCGTCCAGTCTCCAACCTTCGTTTTGTGGCGAAGGTTGTTGAGAGTGTGGTTGCGGGACAGCTTCCCCAGTACTTGGATGAAGCGTCGTATCTGGATCCGTTCCAGTCGGGTTTCAGGCCTGGATACAGCACGGAAACGGCATTGGTCACGTTGGTTGATGATCTCTGGAGGGCTCGGGACAGGGGCTGTTCCTCTGTCCTGGTCCTGTTAGATCTCTCAGCGGCTTTTGATACCATCGACCATGGTATCATGCTGCACCGGTTGGAAGAGTTGGGGGTGGGAGGCACCGTACTAAGGTGGTTCTCCTCCTTTCTCTCCGACTGGTCGCAGTCTGTGTTGACAGGGGGGCAGAGGTCGACCCCGAGGCCCCTCATATGTGGGGTGCCGCAGGGATCGATCCTCTCGCCCCTTTTGTTCAACATTTATGTAAAGCCGCTGGGCGAGATCATCCATGGTTTTGGGGTGAAGCACCATCAGTACGCGGATGACACCCAGCTGTACATCTCCACCCCGGACCACCCCAACGATGCCCTTGAAGTGATGTCCCAGTGCCTGGAGGCCGTACGGATCTGGATGGGGAGGAACAGGCTCAGGCTCAACCCATCCAAGACCGAGTGGCTGTGGTTTCCGACGTCCCGATATAGTCAGCTAATGCCATCGCTGACTATTGGGGGCGAATCATTGGCCCCCACGGATAGGGCTCGCAACTTGGGTGTCCTCCTGGATTCACGGCTGTCGTTAGAAGAGCATGTGACGGCTGTGTCCGGTAGGATTTTTCATCAGGTTCGCCTGATCCGCCAGTTGCGTCCCTATCTAGATCGGGACTCCTTACACACAGTCACTCATGCCCTCGTTACTTCTCGTCTGGATTACTGCAACGCTCTCTACATGGGGCTCCCCTTGAGGTGCACTCGGAGGCTCCAACTGGCGCAGAGTGCGGCCGCGCGGGTGGTGATGGGAGCGACATGGAGTTCCCATGTGACACCTCTCCTGCGCGAGCTGCACTGGCTCCCGGTGGTCTTCCGAGTGCGCTTCAAGGTTCTGGTTATCACCTTCAAAGCGCT